ATATATATATATATATATATATATATATAAATTTATTTTTTTTATTTATCTATATACCCCTTAATACCACATACTGAGACCAGCTCATCACTACACACTGAACAGGAAAACAGCAGGGAAATCGGTCTCATTGAAATTATAAACCAACTTCGCATCTTTAACCAGCTGCAGTAGGGCATTATCCACATAATAACGCTGCTCATCTGAAGCATGCACCAAATGTACACCATCACTCCAAGCATTCAAAAGGTTCAAAATCGTCTCAGTGTACAACGTACACCAGGGACCATCATCTAAAAGAACGATAAACGCTTCTTTAAAATTTCGTGCATCTTCAACTTCTCATTAGTTCTTACAAACTCGAAAAAAAAGTACGACTGTGGTCTACGAATCTTTAGCATCCAATAAAACCCCTGACAAATTCAATTTCAAAAAAGGTGAAAGGGAATACAAACAAGACAACTTGAGTGGTAACTAGAAAACTAATTAAGTGTTACCAAAATTCCAAAAAATAAAAGATATAAGGCCAAAAATATAGTTATCACTTGTACTTGCAAAAAAAATACTATCGGCCACAATTTTAAAATTGAATTACTTTGCTTTATTGTACTTAACAAAACACCTTACCTTCTTGTTCATAAGAACAACCGACATTAAGGCATGCAGACAATTTCAACGGCACTGCTTCTTTCAAATCAAATACTTTCACCAGTAGCATTTTATAAAAAAGAACTCTTTTGACATTCCGGTTGCTAACAATGGCATTGCCAAGCAATTTCTTAAACGAATAAAATTGCTTGTAAAGAAGAAAGCGTTTAAAAATATAAAATACAATTTGTTATAACTCTAAAGACAAGAGTTTCATAGATAGTGTTGCAAGGAAAGACCAACATATAAAGATTTTCCGTCTTTTGCTACTACTGCAACATGAAAAACTACATCTTCCGCGTAGAGAACGCCATTGGATTCATCAGTAAAAAAGCGCGAACTGAGTCTTTCCCAAACAGCAGAACTATCTCGGATTTCCAACCATCTTACTAATTGACCAAAGACCTTCAAAAGTTACCATTTTATAAAAAACAGATGAGGAAGAAGAACGATGCCTCAGAAGATGCTTACTTCAGTACTGCCCCTGAATAAGGCTGGTAAAGTAGCTGCCAAGAATTTCAAATTAACATCTTTCTTCTTGATAACTCGTTCTTTCGCCGTCATTAACGCGTCTTTCATAGCCTCTAATAAGTGGAAAAAGTGGTTTTTTAAAAAGATCTGCAGATTTCTATCACAAGCACCCTAAATAAGGCGAAATGTAAGTCAAGAAATAAGTACGAAGAAAGTTAAGATTCACCTCTAAACTTCAATATTACTGTACAATAGGCATGATTTCTTCGTTGACAGAAATAAATGGAACGACCTAGTAGTTAGAAGTTTGAAAAACAAAACCTCTCGCTTTACGAGTTTCCCAAAAGCGTTATACATAACATCCGGAATTTGCAGAATCAAGTGTGAAAGTTCAGAACACATAATATTCTCGAGATCTGACAAATTGAAATTTTATAAGACCATTTTCGTGCTTGCTTATAAAAGGCAGATGAAAGAACTTGACTTCCATAACTTACATTACCTCTTACGTTAAAGAAAATAAAGACTGAGATTATGAAATTGAAGCACAAACCGTTATCAAGTAAATTAGAAATGCTAAGCGTTAAAGTCTTTCTTAAATGTTCTTTCTCGACGGCACTCAATATCCTGATTATGTGCTGGAACTGATACAAATTAGCAACGCTTGTCCGTGTATACTGTACGACAACCATTAAAGCGTCTTCAAAGGGGCAATCAACAAATGCTTTGACATAATATGACAAAAACTCTTTCTCGGTCAGCAAACCTGAACGACAAAATTGTGAAATCCCCAACTTTTAGGAGAGAAGACCCCTGTCCAAAATATTTCTAACCAAGAAATCCTGGCTGTATCTTGCTCATTAAAATTCGGATGATAGAACACCGAGTATCCTGTCCCGTTTTCTCAGATGCAATCACCTGAAAACACTGTTCAAATAGTCATGAAAAAATTGCCTTATTAATTCTGTTATATCAAACAAATGCCTTTAATCCTCAATGCTTTTAAATGACAACAGCACATCTGTCTTCAGACCAGAACTTGCCTTGTGTACATCGGAAAGCACAGAAATAATGCATCCGCGTTCTCCTGCCGCCTCAATCCTACTAACAAGCGAGCCTTCCATTCCCGTCGCATCAAACGCTCCTTGATTCAAGTAAAAAAAGAACATAACATTCAACTGTGAAATTGAAACCATAAACGCTACGCTCCCAGAAAGCAAACTTCAGAAATGCGTTTTGAAAAATGTATACTAACTCAAAAACAACCTATCACAGAACCACTGGGAAACAGCTCGTCAAAAACTTGTTAAAAAGTCGAAGAAAACATTACAGATCGTGATTCTTGAGGGCACTTAAATCGGATTTCACTAAATCATGCATAAAATGATAAAACTGCAAAATAAAAGACTAAAAAACCATTTCGACATTGCAAATTCATACGACTGTAGTAGAAAAAAATTGTTCATTAAAAGATTAACAAAAACTTTAAACTTTCGGGCGGATTTGCATAAGCTCACGCTTTATTCTCCAAATACAAAAAAAAATCAAATTTCTAGAATTATAAATAATGTACCAGTTACAGCTGCAGAGCATACACGAGTACCACATCAAAAATACTAAACAATTTACCTCAAACCGTTAAACTTTCATTTTACAACTCATTAAATGCTCAAAGCGACACCAGGTAGTTTAACGAACTCACAAAACTATAGGTAAAGAAAAAAAAGTTAAACATTAGAAAAAACCCGCATTTCCTTTAAGTAACAACTAAGAGCTAAAAATAATTAAAAATTAACAACTGTTGAGTTAGATTAGGGGAACATGAGGATTACAATGTTACGTAATGTCCGCAAACAAAAAGCATTTGTTAGTATAGAATGCAAAACCATCTAAAACTGTAAAACCGTCCCTGGAAATGTTTTTCAGAATGCTGCAGATAAAATGTTAACAAAGTTTTGTCCTAAAAATAAGCGAATTTCCTTTAAGAAAGGCAAAAGAGATGGATACGAACAGCTACAGGAACACATCCCGCATATAGCTGAAAAGCCCAACTCGGAATACCCAATAATTCACTGTATCCAGAATAAAGTGGTTATTATACTTGCCAAGAAAATTTAACCTGAAAAACTCTTAATGAAAACTGCAGGTGACTCCACGATCTAAGTAAATGAAGTCTGTCGGTTACAGTTCAAATGATAAAGGTCTTGATAAACTGAAGATAGAGTAAATTTCAACAGTATTTATTTTTCGGGTTGAGATCTCTCATATGAACAATCCTATAATCTTACCACTGCGTCAAAAATATCTAGGGTGGTGTCTTTTTACGTCTTTTTCGACTGTGAGAGTGGGATGAATGTGTTTCGTCTAATTTTGCTTTATTTTTCTGCTTCTGCCTCATAAGCATTTTTGCTTCAATCTGTAACAGACAGCGAAATGACGAAAAATGAACGAAAACAACAGCGAAAGAAAGCAACATTTAGGTAATATATCTTCAAAAAATATCCTGAAAAACTGTGTAGACCTAACCTATAAAAAACATACCCTTTTCCGTATCCTCAGCTCTTGCTCTCTCAATAATGTTTCCCTTAATCGCTTTTCTAAACGCTCTGTTTCATTTATTGAATAAGAACCAACTTCATCATTATTTTGTTCTTCCTTTTTCACTGGTAATTTAGACTGAAAATTTTCGAATGAAAAGCGTCAACTTGAGGCAGTTTATTTCGTCTTTAGGAACAACACAATCAAATAAAAAAGCGAGTGAAGAGAACAGATATTAAAGTAATTTTCAAAAACAATATTTGCATACTCACATCAGCACGAAGAAATAATTCTTTTAAAAGCTTTTTAGACTGAAGATTTTTTCGTGCTTTAAGTTTGCTTAATTCTTTTTCAGATACTTTCCCGTTCAAACTTTCCATCATAACAGAACTTCTGTCTTCCGTACGCTGAAAATTTTGTATGTTTACAGTTAATTAGTGCAAGAAAAATGTTAGAGTGTTACAGTTATAAAAACAAAAAGGACATTAATTTTACTTCCCAAAATAGACCACAAAATCAGAAAAAACGGTAACGAGATAAAATTAAAACAAAAATTACATGATTATCAACAAAGAAAAATCAAAAATTACTTTAGAACGATGTCTGCTCTCGAGTTGTTTTGTCTTCTGTGTATCTCCATTCTCCTCTCGTCGCTTCTCTTCTCCATCACCCATCCTGAAAAAAATTACTACGCACGAATATTTAACATTTTTCGATGTTGCCGCAACACACAAACACTCATAAAAGCTGTAAAATAATTTGGGAAAAAAAAACAATGCAGAAACCTTTTCCTTTCAATTTCTTCTGCCTTCCTTCTTTCCTCATTTTTCAACCTTTGCCTTTCTAAATCTCGCTTTTGTATTTTCTTCTCTGATAAATGCTTCGTCTTGTCGAAATCCACCTATACGAATTTAAGCCCTGATGTCCCACGAACACATTCATGAAACAAGTTAAAGTTAATCCATGTTTAAAAAAATCAATTAAATCCGCGCACATTTTCATTTAAAAGTACAAATTTGTGCAAAGGAAAGTGGATGGCACTCCTCTATAAAAAAGCTTCAATTCATACCCGTTATTTACTTACCTAAAAATATCAAAAAATAAAATAAAATTTTCAAATAAATAAAAATTGAGATTAAGAAACTGTCCTTAACTAGTTATCACCACAGGTCGCCAAAAAATATCAACTCGGATTCTACCAAACCAGACAAAAACCTTTCTAAAGCCAACGATTACAAATCATTACAGCAAACGCAAGCCAAAAAAACTAACCCACCTTTATTGCTGCTTCAAACATTTTATTATCGTCCGTTATCCTCACCAGTTTCATATTTCTTAAGGTATCCATTGCGCGAACAAACGAAATATATTCATAAAACTGCACATATGCTTCAAAAAGGATTTCCTACAACGAGCAAAAAGTAAGAAAAGCCTAAGAATGACTAAGCCTTCGACTTATTACATCGCACAGATGTGTACTGAGCGATAATGCAATAAAGAATAATTTTATACCTGTCCAAAAGAAAATCCTGTGGTATGTATCCCGGAAATATCGCTGGGCATCTGTTTTCGATAACTATCCAATGAAGGTATATCAATGCATCTGATCTTTCCAAACTGTTCAAAGACTTTTTTCACTACTTCCGTACTTGGTAAATCAGAACTGCCGTCTTTGTCCTTAATACATAAATGAGACTTAAATACGCAAATTTTTGAGTCAGACAACAAGAAAGTTGGGTAGAAGATAATGGGGGCAAATAAGGAAATCAGGCTTTGCAAAAACGAAAATAAGTTTGGTTATTGAAATTAAAGATTTGCCGCATCCAGAAAAGGCACGAAGGAATGATAACAAACGATAAATTTTTCTCGAACCTTGAACCAATTCGTTGGAACTTTGGCCAAATAAATAGTGTCTGGACGCTCACCAGCTTTCAGTTCATTCATGTCCTCAGCACTACGAAAAAACTCATCCCAATCATGTCTAGTAGGAAAATCAGACTTTGCTTCTGCAGCACGAACTTTAAGAGGTTCAAAAAAACCTACAACTTTCAGGGAACAATCATCCAGAGCTTTCACAACCTGCCAAATAAAATAATTCACAATAAAAGCCTGCAATACAGAAGTATAAAAGTAAAATGAAATTGTATGCCAACAGAGTGATTAGACCTCACCACACTAAATTTACAGCGCTGAATTAATGGCTAGTTTGAATAAATTGCCATGAAAAACATTTTCTCGACAAAATGACAATAAACCCTCACAAAAAACCTACCTTGGACATAATTTTACGACTAGCGAGCTCTGCTTCGAAGCGAACGATTTCAACCGTACTATTGGTAACTTTAATTGAAGAGAGCTAAACAATGATCAACCTTTAATTTTGACTTAGCACAGCAAAATTTAGCAGTCAGCAATCTGCACGACAACCAAGGGAATTAAAACAAGATCTAAAGCTTTTTAAAACTTTCCACCTAAAGTACAACACAGCTATCTCCCAAACCATCTCCCTCCTCCAAAAAAAAAGTTGTAGAAATCTCTCTTCAAATTTTATTCTACACCTTGTCAACCCTTCAAAAACACTATATCTTCTATTTCAACAAGCTAAAACTTTAAGTTAAAACTTTAAATTAGTTCAAAAAAGCCCCAACGCTGAAACTTTCCCACGCCTAAGTCATCTCTACATTTTACCCAGCCTTCCAAGTAAAGCGTTTTCAAACTAAAGGAAAGGAAGAAGAAACACATCTCCCACCTGCACAGGACTTAAAGCCTTCTTTATTTTCTCCATTAGATCCCAATTAGATATCGACTGGCCTGGCTGCCTGAGCTGAGGCAAACGTACCGTGATATTTATTCTAGCATAAGGCTTCAAATATAAGTTCATCGGGACACAAAATGCAGCTAACTCAGAAAAGTTATGAGGCACTTCATCCATTGTAGCATCAATAACTCAGTGGTCTAAAACGGCAACAAGTCAAGTGGCAATAGCACTCAAACTAAAAAAATGTCGCCATTATATTAAAAGACGTAATACAAAAGCCACCTCACAATAAAATGGAGCGGTGAAAATGAAAAAATGGTTCTTTAAAAAAATAAGGTATTTTTCAATGGCGGTACAACACTGTAAGAAGTGATATAACCAAATTGTAATCAAAAATCTTTATCGGCGTAAACAAATATAACACAGTCACAAAAAATATCATCTCGTTCCAATCGTCCTCTTTCCCTTTCTCTTGTTCTTAACAAGTAGCTGTAAAAAATGGTTTAAGGTTACTTCATAAAGCCGGTAATGAAACAGTCCTACAAGTAAATCCCAATGTAAGAGAGGATAGAAAAGTAAAATCACCTCTGCTCGATTGACACCTATTTTCTGAAAATCTTCTTCACTAAATAAAGACTTGTCCTCTTCTTTCTTCTTCTTCTTTCGAACTGGTTCACGTAAGCCGTCTAAAATAGATACCAAATCGAACATGTGCCAAAATTTAACTACTCGACTTTATGTTCTACTTCATGAAAAAAAAATAACAGTAACAAAAAAGGCAACAACAACACTGAAATAAGATACAGATTTAAAACAAACCACACTCTTCATGCATCCTTCGAATGCTCTCACGCTCCTCCCGACTTCTATCACCAATAAGCGATAAAAGTCGCGTCACTTTCTTCTCATCTAGTTTTAGATCCTTAGTAAAAGACATGTACCTTAAATTCCTCTTGAGCAAGTTAACGCTTTTTAGCCTTTTCCGATATTGTTCTATAAGTGAATAACCCTGCAAATAAAACATCTCTGCAAAAAAGTGAAATAAGAAATCAGTTCGTAAAAGCAACTATCTTGTACGTTTTAAAAAAATGGAATACAAGAACATAATAATCAATGATGGCTTAGACAAATGAAAATATCGAAGAATAATTGTTGAGCCAAAAACTGACAGGTCTAGTACTCGTTTCTGGGACAAGTTGTTCTAGAAACTGTCGCTTCCTCTTCGATTTGACAAATCGAATTTCACCGTCGTCGATGTCAATATCCGTAGACAAGATTACCGACTTCAGGTGTTGTTGATCCCGTGCTTGTAAAGTATGTCGGACTTTTTTGGATGACTTACAGCCACGTACTTCCAATCCATCTTCTAAAATAAGTAACGTCCTGGCAAAAGCTACTATTGCCACTTCCGCTTTGAAATGAAAAAGGGTTTGACAGGTGACAACTGAAAACTTGTAAAGCAACTTATTGGCTAGAAAGTAGCTTTTTTACCCTCATCAACCAGCTTTTGTGTCCTCTTCAAAAGGTCCACTGACATCTTCTACCTATGTGTAATATAAGTCTACCATCCAATTGCGGCGAGAAAAACTGTATATGCTGAAATTAAAAGCACCTAATATCAAAACAAAGTATAAAATAAATCAACAACACTCAAACACCTGTCGCAACAAATTTCTTTGAAATCTTACGCAGCCTTTTCTTTCAATTTACTTCCGACTTACCAGTGTGATGTCATGGAACTCTCAAAGCTTCTTTGTTATAAATTAAATTTTACACCTGTGCCCCACCCGCAACAAATCGAGCGCTCAAGCACCCTATCCCCTTCAAAAAAAACTCCTAAAACAAAATAAAACCTTCAAATGAACTGAAATTCAATTTTCTCCACCTCCCTCAAGTCCCAAGACTAGAACCTCGTCTTCTCACGCGCTTTAAAAATAAGCTAACAAGACTTCATAAGAAACACAAATACCAAAACACCAAACTCTCGCACTCAGCTTCTCAAATTTTTTGCTTTCATCCAGCATACTTCTGAAGCTTCCCAGAACGTGACAAACCTCAAAACCACATTTATTCCTGCTAAAAACTTTACACAAACTCCTCAGCCTACTCCTTGCAAAGATGACTTACGAAAAACAAAATGCAAGTAAAAGCAGGAGCCTCATACCTCCAAACATACAGAATATCCACACATTACACTCCGAAAGCTTACTTCTTTTATCACTACAGTCCAATTATGAACCAATAAATCCCATTAAACCAACCCAAACTACTAACAAAAACATCCAACCAGCTTGCAAGCCCTGCTGTTATCAGAATGCAGTCCCAAAAAAAAAAAATGATTCATCCAATACCAACAACAGGAAACAAACCTATTTACAAATTATGACACAATATTCATTACCAACCTAAAAATTTCACTAATTTCAACCTATAAAAAAACCATCTAAACTGTCCAATCCTTCCTTTCAACGACTTCACACTCTAAAACTTCACTGTAACCCGTAAGACAAAAATACCAACCCGAGCACCCAAAATAGACGCGAAAAAACGCGAGCGACAGAGAAAATCCACCAGAACACCGACCCTTTAACAACACGACCTAAAACCAAGGCTTAATCCCACCAGTTTTACCAAGGACCGCGAAGCTCAACGAGCACCGATAACAGAAACCACAATCCGTACACCTTAAAACGTCGGTTGCTGACTTTTTTTTTGTCAAGAAGAATGTCGCCAACCTCACAAAAACCACCAACATCGTACTCCACCCAGAGAGGAAAACAAATAAAAGTTTTGTAGGAAAATATCTCTAATTTGCAAGCGAAAACAGCAGATAACAAAACAGCTTTTAGCCAAAACCTTGATAAACACCGAGAAAACAATCAATTATATTTTTCAAACACTCCAATAAGCACAGAGCATATCGCATACACATCCAAACATCCAAAAAACAACAGAATAAAAAGACGTTCTATTAAAAATTTTTATGCGGCATTCGAGTTAGGTCCACGCTTCCTGCCAGGACCAGAAACAGCAACATTGACAAATCGCCTATTGTACTGAATCCTACGAGCAGCTCTACCTGTAATAATAGGCATTAAAATACACTATTAATCGAGGAAAGGCAAATTAAAATCTCTTAAGATATAACTTAAAAATAGATTTAAGGAATCATCTCTCCAAAAAAAACAAATAACTAATCAGAAGCACATTTAAAAGGCTGCAAATTCTAATGTTATTTACATTCTATATAAATTGGCTTAAACCACATTAAAACATGGATAAAAACAACTAGTTTTGAAGAGACGGAAGTAAAAAGGACAACAGCATTACTATCTTTCTAAACTGATCTGCTAAACATGAATCAAAATTAACCTGTCTTTTTCTTCTTTTTTTCCTGCTTCTCAACTTTTGGAGTTTGTGCACGAACTTTTCCAGCACGAGCCAAAGAACCGTGGACTTTACCTTTAATGAAATAAATAATCACAAAACTATTGACTAAAACTCCAAGCAAACCGCATAAATAGATCCAAAACGAAACCGAGTAACAAAGTACACAAAAACTTTGTCAGCTCCTTTAATTAAAGCAAAGTCACTGGAAATATCTCTTTCATTGGTTCAAACCCATCAGGTATGGAAAAAAATAAATCTTTTTTGAGCCACCCTCTTCGCCAGCTAAATAAAATTCGTTTTTGAACAGTCCAACTAACGTTCAAACAAAAACGTTTAAGGCGGCTTCGTCCTCTCCAATGTACCAATTTGAAGTCCCTCGCAAAATATACAAACAGCTATAAACTACTTAAAAAGTCTTTGACCAAAATAACTCTTAACGTACCTCCTACCAATCTTGCGTTGACATTCAGAGTGGAACCGTGATGAAGTTCATAGTCCGTCAAGGCAGCACTGTCGTCATCAAGAACTTTACTTCCAAAATACAGAACTTCATTTGTAATTCCTAGCAAAGCCTAAAAGACTGAAATCAAAAAACTATTGTGACGGTTATGTCAAGCGACTCCTTCACAGGAAAAATATATAAAAAACCTTGAGTTGGCCCAACGTAGATTCAGGTACCGCATCAATAAGCTCTACTTCACCTTCCAAACCGGTAACAAAGACTTGCATGATTGAAGTTTACCAGTTAGAGCTGAGTTATTGCTGGAAATATAATCATAATTTTATTCAGCATTCCACAAGACGATGGTCAATAAGCAATGAACAAATGGGCCATAACTTTTAGTCCGACACGTAAAACTATTTTTGTACAAGGTTACAACAAATAAAAAGCTACAACAGAAATAAACTGTAAAGGCCGCGGAATTCCATTCAGCCAAACTATTTTAATCTTATTCGTGTATCCAACGAGCAAAACTCAATTCCAGTGAAATAATAGACACGCCAAACAACTGGAGTAATAAAATCTCTTGAAAAATGTAATATTTGCAGAGAGCAATTATATTAGCAGAAAAAAAGATGCGCTGACGAGTCAGAAATTCAGAAGCATTTCGTTTTGCTAATAATTTTGCAGGAAAAAAATGTATCAACCCTCATCCACCTTAATACAGAAAAGATGTTTTCAGTGACAAACAAAGTTTGGTGAAAAAATAAAATATTCAAAGAGCTTACTTTGTCCTAATAACAATTGACAATCACAATCCAAAACAATGTTCAATCAGCGCAACTTCCGCAGTCGGCAAGTGTAACTGATTCTCAGGTAACGATAATCATGTGGCAATTTTCCAGTGAATTTTTCGATTGTAACAGCACAAAATTTAGAAAAAAATTTTCATTTATGTATCGTGTATTAATAGTGGTGGTGACTTTCGAGAACCTTAACCCAAAATTCGACCAG